GGCTGCTCTCCCTGCTGTGGGCTTTGGAAGAGCCTCAAGCAGGCAGGAACCCGGCAGTGGGTTGCGGAGCAAAAGCAGCAGCAGCTGCCACCTCCCTCCAAGGTGAACCACGTCTCCAGAGCAGAGAGTTTTAACCACTCCTTCCCAAGGACATTTTCACCAGAGCAAGGTCTGCACCACTCCGCTCGCTCCCTCATTTTTCCCCTCGGCTTGCTCCATTCCTTCTTTCCATCTCCCGACAGACTGTCCACCCTGCGCCGCGAGTGTCCAGCCTCAGGCTGGAGCAGAGCAGAAGTCATTACAGGCAGCCTCTACCCTAACACCGCTCTATCAGCGGTCTCCATCGGGGCAAATTAAGGCAAGGAAGGAAGGAGAGAGCAAGAAGAAAGGCTGAAGAACATCAGCCCAGGCCTGGGAAGGGAAGGCACCATCCCCTCCACGCTTGCAAGGACAGCTCTTCAGAAGCAAGACAAAAGCAAGCACAGAGCCCAAAGAAAACCCAACCGCGCTGCAGCTACATTTTGCCCTCCCCGGCCCCGGGGGAAAGCCGGCAGGGTCGAGCCCAGCCCTGGGATGCACCCGCTGGCTTTGGGTACCGCATAGTGCAGGCTGGCACAGCAGCGATGGGAGCAAAGCCCCACAAAGCTCAGACCCAGCCGGCATCTCACAGCGGCTGGTCGTGAGCTCAGCCAGCATTAACCACCTCCAGGGAGCCACAGAGCAAGGAGAGATCATTTCTGCTTAGTCACAGCTCTTCCAGGACACACACTACAAAGGTTGCATTTTCCATCCCCTCCCAGGCTGTTAAGCTTCATAAACAGTTTATCTTGAAACTAGATGCCAGAAGCAAAGTTACATGAATGCCAAGCGTCTCCCTTGCACCATAAGCAGAATAAAACCTGCTGGGCTTGACGGAGGTACTGGCTAGCACAGAAGGGAGACGAAACATGGGACCTACACGATCCCACCACCACCCGTCTCTCTGAGGCTCAGCCCTGTAATGGCCCACGGGCACCGAGCCGGGCACGCCACCCTCGCCACCCTCCTCCCCACGGCTGCTCGAAGCTCGGGTCGGCTAGGAAGGAAAAGAAGCAGAGAGCAAAGCATGCCAGGATGACTCACAGAGGGCCGTACCAAACTGAGAAAGTCTGCTCGTATCCACCGTCGTAGCCGGGCTCCCAGGAGACGTTGGCAGAGGTCATGGCGACCACAACGTGCACGCTGGTCGGGGCGTGAGGGCTTGTGCCTGCGGAGGGAGAGGGATGGGTTAAAGGGGAGCAAGACCGTGCGCTGGCCGGCAAAGGCGAGGGGGCTAGCAGGGGTCTGCTCCCAGCCACGATTCCAGGGGATTCCTCTTGCGGCAAGCAAAGGCCACCGGAGTTTCTGCTAGAAATAGAAGCAGGACAGCCGTGTCCACAAGTAGCCAAAACAACAGAGCAGGGAAATAAGATTTAAAAGAGATGCTGCTTTTCATGGGAAGCATCCCCACCTCCTGCCTTGCCGACCCTACCTGGGGACCCTACCCAGGGACCCCACCAGCCATCCCCAAGGACCCGCTCCCTGCCCTGCCCGTACCTACGACGGTAAGGTGGGTGCTGGCAGTAATGCTTGCGACTACGTTGGTGGCGACACACTCCCACTCGCCGTGGTCGTCCTTGCCGAGGGAGCGGATCTGCAGGGTGCCGCCGGGCAGCGTGTTGTGCTTGCTCCTGCTGGGCTTCCCTACCTTGGGCAAGGAGCGGCGGGAGCCAGGCAAAGAGAGAAAAAAAAGACGACTCAGAAGCAGGTTGCGGGGCAGGGTGAGGCGGCAGCGGGGTCACTAAGCTACCTGCGCGGCCCAGGGGACACCGCTGGCCACCGGCAAGGAATCTGGTCTCTCCGGTCGCGGCAAGGCAGCCGGTTCCCCCGTTTTCGAGAGGACCTGGCGGGGCAACGCGAGAGGCATGCGTCAGGGAGCCTGATGCTCAGCACTCACACACAAGCGGAAAACCCCACGGCACTCACACGGACACCAAGCCCTGCGGCAGGGCTCAACTTCCAGCATCCAAAGCTGAAACCGCTGCGGGGAAGGTGCGCCGGCTGCCCCCAGCAAACACCCTCCCAGGCCGGGGAAGGCACCGACCGCCTGCCCCGGGAGGTGCCCAC